TCCACCGATCTGGTGCATGAAAAGAAAAAGGCACTTGCCTTTATAATCTGTCGACATGATTTCTCACAATCATGAATGATTGCAATGATCGTTCATTATGTTTACCACACTGCTGGCACGTGCCAGTCCTCATGTTACTTTCCCAACATGTCGACGGAGCGGCCTTTTTCTCTCTCTCAGTTCGCCACTTCTTCAATCCCGCTGCCATCTGACCTACCGTCCTAATTGGTTTGGATGCGGCGCATCGTTTACATTTCCGAAATTCCAAAAATGGAGATTCATCTACCTGCTCGAAATCTGGAGTAATTCGGACCCCGCAACTGAAAACTTCTGAGCCTCCGACAGCTGACACATGAACTACCTGTGTACGGATGTTCCTGTACATGACCACATCTGGGTCCCAGGCTCTGGGAGCAGCTATTGGATCGTTTTGCTGCTCGGCTTCCGGCTCGTGGTCGCTGCTGTCATCGGATGATTCGGAGTCAGAGGATGAATCTCCAGAATTCGGAGATACTTCGGATGCTTCTGGACCGGGCGTTGGATCCACTGTGAAAGAGCATTTCGGATCGGGTACGATTGCTGAACTCATCATTCCAGACCTTGTGGAGTCTGGTGAGAAGGCTTTCGTCCTGACTTGTTGCAGGACCAACTCGAAATCTCTCAATGGCTTTGCCAAACTATCTCGGGCGTAGCATTCTGCTGAGGTCTTGCCTGTGGAATGATGGCCAAGGATTGCCCTGACATCTGGCTCTAGGCCCCACTTTGCGCACCAAGACAGTGGTGTAGCTTTGAGAGTATGGATGGTGGTGAATTCAACCCCACCCTCCAAGCTCTTCAGCAGGTTGCGGATCCATTTTCCGGCCTCTTTGGTGGTGACAGCTCGTCCTGACCATCCCCCGCTCAGATTGGGAGCAGTTAGCAATGGTTCCTGATCAATGTTTTCCACTGGCCTGTTGACAAGCTGCGCCACTTTCAAGAAAGCAAGACCCCATGGGGGAGAGGTAACTCCCCAGATGGGGGCTACCAGTGGCATGGCCAAGCCGCCCTTTGCAACCAGTCTGGAAGTTTTGTGCGACCTTGTCTTGCATTCGAGATAACCGGAAATTTTCCCTTCTCGTTCACCAACATCTGCGATGAAATTGTATATTTTTCTAATGTCTGACCACCTGCTTCGGCTATAAAGGCAGAAGAGCATGCATCCACTGGCAAATCTGTCAAACAGGCCAAGTCGTTCGTCGGAGAGGTAGAACTCCAGATGTTCGACTTCCCTGACTGTCAACACCCTGGCTTGGTTTTTCTCAGGGCGCATTGCGTCACTGACCTCAATGAGCCTGCGGATCTTGGCCGAAATCAGGTCTTCTGTTTCGAAACTAACGGTGATGCCAACGACATGTTTGCAAAAGTTCAGTGCTTCCACAAAACCTCTGAGATACGAAGCTGGCTTTCCATCTTTCATCATTGCTTGCAGATATTCTTCTACCAAGTCTCTGGAAACTGGGAACGGGCACAGTGCAAAATACCGAGATCGATACCATTTGGTGAATTGAAGGATGCTAGACCCGCGTCTGAGAAGGGTCCCGTGACTCCTGTTCCCAAACACGAGCTTCATGTCTTCAAGTCTGTGGTTGTGCACGGCTGCATGAAGATCAAAACCAGTCGGCCATGCTTCGGGCCCTGTCGAAAAGATCATGTACCACTTCTCCAATGCTTTGGTCATGGCAGTTTCTTCGAGCTCCTTTTCGGACAACTTAATATTTCTGAAGTTGATCACGTCGCTGTAAGCCCCTCGACTTGTTTTGCATTGCGTCCATTGGACAGAAGAGGCCGATTGGTTACCCAGGGCGTCAAACTCAATCGGACTCATCACTGGGGTCGGAATAAGCTTAGATGGATCTTTATTGAAAATCAGAGACATGCCTTTGCGTTCCCAAGGCATCTTGAACTTAAAGATGGGTTTTGCACTCATGCAAGAGTCTGCAACCATAGCCCTCAAATTCTTGGCACTGCTGTCATCGAGAACTTCTGCTTTCTCATTAGGCAATGCTGGAGGTTGAGGGGGGAATTCTACGTACCCATCCCATTCAGATTTGTCATCATTCCCAAACAAACTAAGATCTTCCGACTCTACTATGTCAACTATTTCATTGGCATCTACTCCTTCTGGAAGGGGCAACTGGACGGTTCGGGAGTTGACGGATGCGGATTCTGACTGGTCATCCTGCTCAGCCGGCCGCTTCACCCCTCGTAACATCTACGCACTTTCGTGCTCACGGATGCTCATCAGCTTTCGGATAGGGTGTGCGGATGCGAGCCGGAGCTCTCACTTCACCAGGCAAAGTGCCTCATCAGAAAAATTGAATCGCCTGAAAGTAAGTACTACTCTTATATTTTCCAACATTGCATAAAACACTCGGTCATCAACTTACCTTCGTCTCAAACCGTGAATGCATGAATGAAATTGTGAATTCTTCAATACTGAGTTGGACGCCACTCGGCAGCCCCGGTGCAACCTTCACCGAATCCAACATCTGACTCAATGCCTATCTATTCTGGCTTAGAATCACTGTTTCGAAAAACCATTGTGGCATGTCGCTCACTCGAGCTGATCCGCAGTCGCACATGCAACTTCCTCGCCTGGTGGGCTATGATCCTGAGGTCAACACCTGGAGTGTCTTGAAACGAAAAGAAAACGGACCACCACATGCCAAGGTTTGAAACTTCAAAATCTTGAGCGAGAGTTCATCACATGATGATTGGATGTCACTCAAACTGAGACTGTGACTCACAAGACCTTCACCTGATGGTCAATCAGTCATCATTGAGGTCTGTACTTACAGAAAGTGTGTCATTACGAATTTCTGATTCTCTGTAACTTGAAATAGAGGTCCGGACTTCCAAATTGACTGTGATCGGGAAGCAACCTCCGAGACTGGAGCGCGGATCTCACCTGAGAGTGTCACACGACACTCACTCTAATGGCGACACTTGTCAAACCACATTTCTCCACACACGTTCACACACTGAAGAATGTCTGAGTGGGACACTCAGGAGCCACGTCTGATGCCCGTCCTAGAGCATCGATCAGACAAATGCATGACGTAACCCGATGCCACTTGGCGACATTTGCGTGTTCTGTGCCATTCACTTTATGTGTAAGAACTGTCACTTGACAGTTAACTCACAAAGTACGTGTCACCTGACACCCAATCTGAGGATGGCACAAATGAGGGAAGCCGAAAAGACCCCCCAAAAAAAAAAATCCAAAACTGCTCACTTGAGCCTTTCGTACACATAGGTGTGATGACCGAAATGATTCATGCGCACACTCTTGTGCATGTGTTCTGACTTGCAAGATATCCCATACCTCTACACAGCAAAGTGGATCCATCCAACAATGCATATTATGCCATGTGTGGATCGTGTCTACATGGGATGATGCGGACAAACCCCCGGAGGAATCAGCCCATTTTCAAAAAGCGGCTGGCTGCGCGCTGAGGTGGATATCTGAATTGAGCTCCGACTGTTGTGGAAAAACGTGATCAAAAAGGCCTGGAAAAAGAAGTCGACACCTGTAGTGATGGAGTCTGGGCCGTCGATGATGTGCTGCATGTCAGTCAGCGGGATGTTCCAAGTCTTCGGCTTGGAGAACAAGGCCCAACTCACGTGCCATTGTCTCATCACGAGCTCCAAGGGCTTCAACAACCCGTCCCAGCAAATTGCGTGTGTCCTGCAGTTGTTGTCGCAGGGTCCGCAATTCAGCTTGTTGCCGGCGGAACTCATTGTAAATTCGCCCAAGGCACTCATAGATCTCCGGTGCAGGCACAAGGTGGACTTCAAGGCATGTCCGTGATACATCGACCGTGGTTGTGATGCCCAAGGTGTAGCTGAAATTGCAAGCTTGAGCATGTTGAAGCATGTCCTTGTAGATATTCACATCGAGGACGGCGAAATGGTACCTGCGTAGCTCTGAGAGGTTCTCGTCCCAAGCTGTCCAGAATGAATCCATTGATTCAATGGCTGGGCACAGATGCCGCGCCTGGGGCGTAGACATGGGCATGAGGTACTCATTTATTTCGCATGCTGTATCCTCCATGTTGAATATGGCCAACAGGTGGGACACGGTCCACTCAGGATGTTCTGGAGCGTTGGAAAATTGGATGGGGATGGAGAACTGCGTAATAGGCAACTCAGCCATCACTCAAGATCCACAGCACTACGAAGACGATGGTGCCAAAAGTAATGCCAGCCCCAAACAAGCAACCTGAGATGAAAATGGACCGTGTAGACACCGGCAAGGACAACGTCAAAGGGGACTGTATGGCGATGCGTCCCTTCTCACGACATCGCATGCCCCGGGGCGGCCGATGCGAGAATGCGAAAAATTTGAATAAAATGAACTTCGAAATGAAGAAGGTTGACAATGAAGTTGTTCTTGAAAGACATGTGTATTGAAAACCCGGCAAGGACAACGTCAAAGGGGACTGTATGGCGATGCGTCCCTTCTCACGACATCGCATGCCCCGGGGCGGCCGATGCGAGAATGCGAAAAATTTGAATAAAATGAACTTCGAAATGAAGAAGGTTGACAATGAAGTTGTTCTTGAAAGACATGTGTATTGAAAATGTCATGTGTCCAATGTCAACCTTTTGAAGTTCATGTAGTGGCACTTGCCACTGTCACACTTGTGACTGGAACCGAAAACCACATCGTCGAATGAGTGAATTGACAAGCTCACAAGGACAATATGACACACCGCACCACTCAACTGAATGTTTCGTTTCAAGATGAACCCAGTCTCATAAAAATCTATCATGACTTCTTCATGAGAGCATTCAATTTGACCCCAAAATTGAACACCAGAAACATGGGTTTGTCCAAAAATTGGTTTCCGCTATGAAATGGCCATAAAATGAAGTTTTTAACATGTGATATGCAATTTTGAGACAAAACCACATGGAATATCCCTTTCCCCTCAGGTCTCTTTGCAACGCCAAGTCGCATAAGCCACGAAATCCCGAGCCATGACAGACCATCCTGATCATCTCAAACACCGGAAGGGGCCCAGCAGAACATTAGGTAAGTTGGTTTCTACCATTTTGAAATAGGAAAACTTATAGTTAAACCATACCAAAAATGGTGATGTAACCAACAAAAATGGAGATATAATGGGATTTATGGCTGATCTATGATAGGTAACTTGGTTTATAAGTAGGTTCGCCCGGGGTTTATGTTCGATATATTTTTGTAAGATGAGGTTATTAACGAATTTACAATTCGGGGTGGCCGGGGTGGCCTTTCAGTATAAAACCGACCCTTACACTCGGTACATGGGACAATTGATATGTACCAATTCGTGCAAAATAATTTTCGTGCCGAAATCAGATCAGTCTAGGGCACACGATTATTTTTTTTTGCGGACCAATACTTGTGGAATTTGTGATTTTGTTTGATTTTCACTTGGACCCTATTCACAATATTCACAATATGTCAGCAGGACGGTTTGGTTCATGCGCAAAAAAATGTAACTACAAATTGTGGTCTGCCATCGAAAAAATTGGCAACCTATGGAACAAAAAACTAACAAACAAACCAGTAATAAGGTAGTGTAATTTCACAGTTTCTGCTGACATTACAATTTCACCGCCAACGTCTGACTGCAATCCGCAGTTTGGACCTACTGTCCAACAAAATTGACACAAGTGCTTAAAATGTGCTAAAACGTTGCAATTTCACAAACCACACACAACATCACCAGTTTAAAAAAATGAATCCATGTCGCAAACCCATTCCATTGGCACCTTGCGGATGCCATCATCAGCTCTTCCAACGCTCATCACTATGAATTGGCAGTTTCCATGCGTTTTGCAAGTGTCAGCGCATGGGGCATGGGACATGGGCAAGATGTGTTTTCAGTTTTGTGCGCAACTTGTAAAAAAAAATGTTTTCAGCGCGGAAAGTCTTCTTGAGCTAGAAACACCATTTCGCACGTTGCTACAAAAGTCCAATGTCCAACCAAAACAAAGCGTTTTCAGTTTTTCCAACAGTATATTTCAAGACAAATTTCCAATATCTGGTGTCAAGTTGGGATGAATCCCAGAAAAACCTCCCCGTGTCCCCCAATCTTGGTGCACTTTCACCATGAAAAATGATGGAGTGACCGTCAATGGGAAGGATGACATCCCTTTTCTATGGAAAATAAAAGCCATGTTTGAAACATTTTGAAACCACCAACCAGATAAGTATTGCGCCTATCACACCAAAAACGACGTTAACGACGTTCGACACTTCTTCAGACGCGTGACAATGTCACAAAGTGCCACGCCTGACGACATTTTAACCTGTTTGGAAACCATCCAGAATGACAGTTTTTGCATGTTTCCCCCATAGACATGGCCACGCTACAAGAAGACCAGGGTATCGAGACGAGACATGTTGGAAGTTCAAAAGGGGCGTTTTGTGCGAGAGTTTCCTCCCATTTTCACACTTTGCTGCTTCAAAACCGACGTTTGCTACTAGTTTTCTCATGAACCCCAAAATCTACGACCTCAAAATCAATGTTTCGTGCAGGGTGTCCGTCAAGTTTCATCACATGTCGCAAAATGCCACACTTGCCACGGAATTTGCACAATGTCACCACTTGACTCAACCTTGACAATGCGATTCGCAAAAAACACGCAACACGACACGTCTGAAGTGCCGCGCCTGCCACGCTAAATAACGACGGAGGTCCCCAAACTGTTGATGTTCTAGAAACGACGCAAATTTTTTTGTGTCTGCCACGCAAAACGACTTTCGACACGTTATGACACATGTTAGAATGTCACAAAATGCCACGCCTGCCACGCGAAACGAGGCTTCGCGACGTTTGAAACCTCCAAAAGCGACGACCTTTGCAGAATTTCAGGGTGTTCAACTTAAACTTCCCCCCCGCACGATGACAAACTTTGCAAGCCAAAATGCATTGCTCCACAAACCAGTTCGCTTCGTTGACAACATGTTTATGTTGCTGAGACAGCCATGGGAAACCTTTGGGCCAGACAACATTTCTCAACAGCCGCGGTCCCCACCAATCTTGGAATTGAAACCTCGCCCTGGAAAAGGCGTTGCAAGGGGGAGGAACAAGCAAATACCAATTTCCGTCTTCGACGGTTGCCAGAATTTCGCCCCATCTGATTGCTGTCTTTTTCCGGCGAATAGATACATCACTTTCACCTTCGGTGGAGATGCCTGTTGAGGATGTGCCTCCATGTCGGGTTGGTGAGCACACCCACCCCGTCAATTGGAAGGACGGGTCTTGTCCTTGTGCTGCACAGCAGGATGATCACCATAGCATCCCTTAACTCGGCACTGGTGCACTCTGCAAAGCACAGCTCACGCCCATCTGCAACCCCGCCAGCCTGGAGCCTTTGCCCTTTGATTTGCCTCCTTTGCCTTTCCCCTTGAAACCCTGTCACCTAGACTTGCCGCTGAAGCTACATTTGTTGCTCAGTCTGGGCCACTCGTTTGCAGGAGGTTCTGCACTGGAAGCAGCACGCAATGCCACTGGCGTTGTGAAGAAGGACTCCTTTAAGTCAGCGTCGCGGATCACAGCATGCAGAGCCTGTGAAAGCGTGTGGCCTTCATTGGTGACCAACCTGAATGCCTCCTTTCTCAACTTGTGCTCATAAGGAAGCACTATGGCCCAATCGAGCCTGATCTTCTGCTGCGTCCTATCGCCCTGCAAGGATGGCACCTGGATCCCCAGAACACGTTCCCGAGGATAAAGTCAACAAACTTGATGAAATCAGCAGCTTCCAGGTCATGGAGCCAATTCTTCGCCGGATACCTCGCTGACATACAAAGCCATGAGTACACCTCGCCCTTCATCACTTTGCAGTACTCCTCGGATGTTGTGGGCATCCGTGCTTCTGATGACCTCGTCCAGCGGGGAAGCTGTTGGTTCATTCAATTCAGTCTCTTCTGCCTTCAATGCCAAATTGTCAGAAGTGGGTGTTTCAGATTCCAAGGCCCCATGTTCCTTCTCGACAGCCTTGACCATGGCCTCCCTCTGATGTGCCTGAAGGATCCTAAGTTGATCCAACACTTCGCTTCGCCCGCAAGTTCTACTTCCTTTACGACAAACTCCTTAACAGTCTCCCATGCTCCCACATGGCCGGTGTGTCTGGGGCCACCGCCTTGCCTTTTTTTGCTCTCTCCTTGCTCTCCTCCTTGCTCTCTCTCTCCGTGCTCTCCTTCTTGCTCTCCTTCTTGCCTGCCTCCTTGCTCTCCTCCTTTTTTTCCTCGAACTTTGGCTGATCACGCTCAAAGGCTCGATGCTTGAAGTAGAAAATTAAATAAGAGAAACTGGCAAAAATAACAGAGCGAAACTCTGTCAATACAGTACAAGCCTACGGGTGGCGTCACAAAAAGAGAACGTCAACCGCGTAAGGAAGAAGTGCACATCTCCCGGTCATATCTTCCCACGCCAAACAAAGAAACATAAACACAAAACAAACCAAGAAAGGGGCCAGAGTCCAAACACAAACCAAAGACAGCACAGCCACTACCGCATCGGCAGAAGATCCCCCGATGCCAAAACACACGCCCCTCTCTTGCAGATAGTGTCTGGTCCTTTGTTGACGTTGTCGGCTTTTCATGGTTTGTCGTCTGACTCAGCTGCCGGACTTGCAACGTTCTTCAAGGACTTTCATTTGTTGTTTGAGCCTAGAGGTAAAATCTAGATTCCCAAATTAGTTCGACAAAACGCATTGTTAAAAGTACATCCATTCAAACGTTCTCTGTCACTGTCTTCAAGACTTCGCTCTTTTTCATCTGCTGGATATGTCAGATTCGAAACAAAACACGCATGGTCCAATAGTTCTGAACCATTTATCCAGATGGCACAAATCACCCATCCTGGATGTACAAGAATCTGACCAGGAATAGCAATCAACAAAGGTTGGAAAAACGCCACAAACGCCAAGTGAAGTATCCTGGAGACCCACTGAAAAGTGGTGATCGGCAGAAAATAAGAGAGCACGGGATTGTAGTCCGATGTGACTCTCTCAGACAGTAATATTGCAGATTGCATCAAGATTCATCTACCTGAATCCGTAGGATGTTGAAGTGAAATCCACCACAGATAAACCCGCCAAAACAACAACAAAAGCACCTTGAGAAAGAAAATCAAAGATGGAATCACACACATCCCGGATAATTTGAATGGTAAGACCATTGAACCTCATAGTGGAGATGTACAGACATCGCCAAATAATTGATACAGATCATCTCCAATTTGGAGAGATGACCAAGAACTGCAAATATAGGCCAGGGGGGCCAGTGAAAGCTTATGGTGCAGCTAAACAAGCTGATCTGAGTTTTGCTATAAATTGCAGAGAATACAAGTACAAATCCGGGTGATGACTTTGTCATCCAAATTGAATCCAGCATGCATCTCGAAATGCATTCGCATCGAATAAGCGGTGAAAAACGAAATAAATCACATAACTACTGACCCCAAAAGAAAACGCAAAAGGTGAGGGGGGAGGGAAAACAAAAATGTTACACATACAAATGAAAGTCCTTGAGCCAAAATGGAACCAGGAACAAAGAAGATCCTTGCAAAACAAAGTGAACAAGTACACTAACCGTTCTTCAAGGACTTTCATTTGTTGTTTGAGCCTAGAGGTAAAATCTAGATTCCCAAATTAGTTCGACAAAACGCATTGTTAAAAGTACATCCATTCAAACGTTCTCTGTCACTGTCTTCAAGACTTCGCTCTTTTTCATCTGCTGGATATGTCAGATTCGAAACAAAACACGCATGGTCCAATAGTTCTGAACCATTTATCCAGATGGCGCAAATCACCCAACAAAAACTATCTGGGGAAATGGTTATCGCCAAGAACCACCCCACAAACAGAAGTGAGAACCATTCCAGCAGATAAAATAAGCGATAGGGAACAGTTGAGTCGCTAGAATCTTAGATTCTCAGACAAGAATGGCTCAGAGAAGTGTCTCACAGAAAGTGCTCAAAAGAGGAGGTGATCAGTGGTGAAGACATAAACGGCAAAATAACGTAGGGCTGGGATACCAAAATTGTAAGTAGCCCAAAGGTGATATATTGGAGAAGGCGTAAAAAGAAAAATTTGGGATTGATCACAAAGTCCTCCACATAGTGCACAAAGCGGGACCAACTTGGAAATAAATTTGAATGCATTGAATAAACGATGAAGATCAGTGTTGATGTCCCAAAGAATTGTAACCGCAATAGCAGAAAAATTTACAGAAAATCCACCATCACATTCCAAGATGGTAAAAATCGGGTCGATGTGGTGCTATGCGCCTCTGGATGGGTTCCAAGTTTGCGGGGAATCCAGCCCCGAGAGGCGTCTGAGTAGAAATTCGGAGATGTGGTTGGTGTCGAACTGCGTCGCATTCTGGGGATAGTAGACTTCAAGATAGATTTCCGCAGAAGCTGGCTCATGGAGTTCTTGCAGTAATGGCCAAAAGCTGCCGATGAGTTTTTTGGGTGGCCATTTGCCGAAGAGCTCGTCAGAGGGGTCTAGTCTGGTCCAACTATTGCCGTCTAATAATAATGGCACAATCCTTCCGTTCCTGAGGCCGAAGCCCCAGTTACCCCGTCCACAATCTTTCAACCTGAATCCTCTCTTGGAGACCATCGCGACTGCCAGTGCGAGGCGATATGTGATTTCCTCAGGGTCCAAACCAGAGAAGTTTGCTTGACTATACGGAATGAGCCTTTCACAGATCAGGAAGTGGAAGTGAACCTGCTGAATGGGTCTGTGCGGTTCATCTGCCGGACGATTTGGCTCCAGAAGGGATAGTCAGGAATGGAACTCCTGGATGAACTGCGCAGTGAAGTCCGGGATCTGACGAAATGCTCTGATTTCTT